ATCGTTATTTCACTACTATTTCAGTATATGAAAAGATTGAGTCACGTGAGTGAAGTCTTCAGTTGTCCATTTGTGTAAATTGGCTTACAGCAGAATGACTGATTGAAACGTTTTAGGTTTTACTTACAAAACAACTTCTTACAGGAACGTTAGATGTAAAGGTCTGTGCGGCTCTGAAATGATCCCGGGTTTCTCAAAGGAGTAACAAATTGCTTGGTGTGGTCGGCTTGGAATGCACAGTCACCAATAAACTCAACTTTTGAATCTCAGCTTGTTGAGAAGATTGTGGATGGGAATTAGATATAGTAGTATAGAAAAGTATGGAACAGTAAAGCGATTATGTAAAGTTCTGTAAATAGGGAACTATATTTCAGGATCTTTTATTAGATTTGAGGGCTCCAAATTCACAGACCCCTAGATTACTACGCAGATCTGACAAATTGTAAGGCTAATGTAAATATATTCACGTCAGAGTCTATGCAGATGATAAGAAATACTCTACTCCAATTGAGAATATATCGTATGAATAGGAGATTGAGTCATATGTAGTCTTAAGGTCATGCACACAGATTAGTAGTTTGGAGTCATAAGACATCCGTAACCCATACTGTCTGGATTACTCTGATTGGCCCGAAGTGCAGGCCTTCACGCACGGGTATTGATCGCACTAGGGCCTTGGCACCTACACAGGATAACTCTCTGTAGATAGCTTCGATGGAGAATCAAGAATAAAGTGACCAACCATTATCTGTCTGCTAGCAGATTCAGCCTGTGCCAACACATACCATCTCAAAGCTAAACACATCTGAAATATCGCACAGCCTAATCTACTAGGAACCTCATACCACCACGACTTAACTTTACAGTAACGATGACATTCATTTCACATCATGCGTCTTTGATAATCATTATTATACGTATCTCGTTTCTGTAGATAACTTCTCATTCCTTGCCCATGCTTTTTCTTGTCAAGACAATTTGGATGAGGAAAATTTTTGAATAAAAGTTACATTTCCAAAGGACTTCTAGTCCAGTTAAGGTTGTTGTTATTACTTAATTATGTCTATAAATAAGGAAAAATGACACCTCAGTCATCGAGATCGTAGTACACGTTTATTCCGGTAACGACCGAGACGAAACCAAATACTGTTTTAATTTATGCGACAGTGGAGTTAAGAGTATACTGCATACCAGCTATATATTCAGCTGCGTGTGGATACTTGCTCTCGAAATCAGATTCCTTATAATATAAATATATATATAATTTATTGTGTGTATAATAACTACAACTATTGGTGCTTCTTTTCTTGTTCTTACAATTATCTACACCCTTCACAATTACGGAAAGTGTGGAATGCTGAGCGAGACACGAGATACAATTACAGATTTATCGCATGACTTTAACAAAAACTTATTTTGTAGTCAGTTGTGTATCAACAGCGCTGCCTACTTGATATCTCTGATTATTCTGACTTCTTACAATCTCAAATGAACTACATGGACAGCGTTATTTTCATCCTGTAGCTTTGACTCATTCATCATTCGTCATTAGCTTGGACGCTTAGATATCTGCTCCAAAACTTGTCTTACAATTGTGGATGAGTCAATCCATGCTAGGTTCGCTTTGGAATTTTCTTATTCCTTTCTGTCCCTAGACATGAACTGGGGAGTCCTAAGCTTGTCTCGAGAGACCAAATATAATATTTCCGGAGATTGTAAGAACGATATACCAAGTATGAGGATGAGTTGGGGTTACGACGAATTTTACTGATGTTTAATGGATAGTAAGTTGTAAGAAAATTGCTATATTAATTCAAGCGTGGCGAGAAATCCCCCTCTACATATGAAAGCGGGGTGCTCCGCACACCAGTGTGAACTCCAACATACCTCCTTATCCAACCTAAATGGGAAGGTTATTAGAGATCCTAAAGCCAATATATTTATCATAAATCAATTGATTGTCCTTTCTAAGTCAATAACTATGTTGAACATGCAAGTCTTCTTTGCTTATAGGCCAAGGATACCTATGCCAGCAGTAGGTCCCCTCCTATGCCTCCAATGCCTCCCATACAGCTCCCCTCAAACAGTACCACCCCTCCCAAATCCTCATCCGATCATACACTAAGAGGAGCCTTTAGCCCTTCATTATCTCCCCTCTCCAGCCAACGAAACGATGGCCATTCGCGGGTGTATGGCAGCAGGGAAAAATCGCAAAAACCACTGGGTGCGGAGCTCTCCTAATACCGACATTCGGACTAAGTCCGAAGACATAGTGAACCTTTTGAAGCGTTCAGAGAGCCCGGCTTGCTGGACGCTGCAGACTTTTGTGTAACTCGGAGAATTTACAATCTGCCTTTCTAGCCACCTTCCAACTCTTTCCCGAAGGTCGTGCTGAAATGTTGGAAAATTCTTGACAGAGCGTGATTGCTGTTTGGTAGCTTAGCCCACTTTCTTTTGTGCCGTCCAGGGAGTTGGGGAGTGCCATTAACTCATCGTCAAAAGAAGTCTTCCAAGCTAACTAGCTGAAATCTCGGTCTTGACGCCCACAAACGTTCTAAAGTTGAAAGCCTCTCGATAATATCAGCCTTGCATGCTCTTCAGGGATCTATTCCCCCTGTTGCTTCACATCTCAGCCGCCTGCACTTCCTCAACATGTATACCAGCATTAGAGCAACAGTCCTACACAAACCAAGACCCAAGCTTTGTATATTATGACTTAATTTCTTCCTTGCGGGTATACGTAGCGTCGTCAATATGTAGTGAGAGATGGCTGGAAATTAATGAAGCAAACTCCTGCTTGCAATTGGAGCAGCTTCTTTATCGGTCGTTGAGGCGAGATTTTGTGTGGTTAGAAAGAATTTGAGGACTCAGATGAGAATGGTAGGAACGGCATTGTCGAGAAGTCTTCAAATGGAGATATGCTTGAGGTTGCTTTCGACTTTAATTCGGATGCGATTCTTCTTGGTTATCCTAAAAATGCAAAGCACACTGAGCGATTACACCGCCACCACAGGAAGGTGAAGAATTTATGTTCGCCGGCGTAAGTGGCCTTGTAAACATATGGCCTTTGCCTATCCCAAGTTTTTTAATCATTTGATTTGATTTGATACCTTTATCGTGTCAGAATATCTCTTTACCCATTGGGCGTGACACGACTATTAGAACCCTTAGCTTCCAAATCTGCCCACATGACCGGCCCGTGAAGGGCATTAGAAAATGATGAAATAAAAATTGTGGGTAACGTTTCCCTGCGCCGTGATCCCCATCCCTCGCATAGCTAGATAGCTGCATACGCAATTAAAATCTGATGCAAAAAAAATGGGGAGGCAGGTAGAGCTCTTAAGGCCAATATATACCGTCAGGTATATATTGGATAATTACTATTATTGTGATAACATAATATCTGTTAGTTACGCCCTCAGGGCTCCAAACATGCAATGAGCAAGGCAGTGTAGGTGCTTGAACATGACACACCTACACGTGACATTAATGCCAATCTAGTCTTGGCATTACTCAGCAATCACCCACGCCTCTTTTTTTTTTTTTTTGCATCAGATTTTAATTGCGTATGCAGCTATCTAGCTATGACACAATATCAAAGAAAAGTACAGAATAGATGATTCAACGTTAAGGAAGAGCACTCATGCCTCGGATTTCATTTGCAAGTACCACTGCGAAGTTATGGTGGCTTTTTTTTCACCCCAAGTCAACCCTCGTCCGTGAATACCCACCCAGGGGAACGTCTCAAAAACCCTGAGTTATCCAGACATGCCTCCGCCATCCATCAACTTTTCTCCGCGCGAAATGTAATCTGAGATGTCTCCTTCCCAAGTGGAGTAGGTGCCCAGGCTACTCAAACCATACCAGAGAACATCACCAGGAGGCGGGCCTTAACACCTTCCATCGTTTGCTTGTTTTTATAGTGTCAGCTGCACTCTCGCAAGCGAAGTCTTGGCGCGCACAAAGCTCAATTCGTAAAACTCTGGTCAAAATTCAAAATTCCACGCCCGTCGAAAATGTATCCCCCTTCTGCATCATCTTGTAAACTTGTTCTAATCCCTCTCACGTCCTACCCAAAGAGCTATCTCCCAGATTTGTGCTCCACGCTTTGCTTCCTCCGTCGGGTCACCCACACCTCATGTATATAGAGCTCGCTGTAGTTACTCCTATTTCTCCTTCCATAGCCAATATATCTTACATTCCTAAGGCTGCCTCTCTACCATTTTCATACCTGGTGATTTTGGCTATCTTTTTCAGAGACCCAGCCTACTTGATTCACTCACACACCCACGCACTACACTTTCAGAGTCATCCACAGTCCCACAGTCCCATAGTCCCGTAGTCCCAATTTTACAGAAGTCGATGTCCTTGGAGACTAATACTCTCAAAGAACTCACCAATCCCCGAAACCCCGCAACAGGACGATTCATAAGAAGGACCATACCCCAAGACACCATGGCAAGTATGAAGATATCCGAAGAGCTTCCTTTTTCAATGAAAAGGTTAAAAAATTTGCCTCGCCATCACGGAAAAACGCGCCATCGAAGCCAACAAAGATCGAAAAGTTCGATGGAAGCAATGCAGATTTCAAGACTTGGTCTACCGCTATGGATCTCCGTTTTGTCAAATACCCCGAAGACTTCAGCACTCCGGAGTCGCGCCTCACAGAGATTGCGGAGCATTGTTCGGGTCGCGCTGCAAACTGGATGAGTGCAATCATCACCGGCGATCGTGAAGATCTCATTGATGATTATGCTGAATTTATCGCACAGTTCTCTAGAACCTTTCAAGACGCGCAGTAAATCTCGCGTATGCAAGACCAGTACATGACTAGACATGTAAAAGGTTCTGTCGCCATCTTCGCGACGCAATTCGAAGAAGCATCCCATGCTTTGGGTTACCCTCCCAATGTTATGGCACTCCAGTTCCTACATCACATGCAGCCCGAGATTAGAAAGGCGCTAAACCGTCAACCAACCCTCGACCGCGAAGACTATGAAATGGTCCGGAAACTTGCGGTAGAGGTAGACAGCAATATCTACCTAGAGCGCAAAGAGGAACTTACCGCATGGCCACGTACTTACACACCCATTGCCACTGCTGCAACTACCGTCCGCGCTGAAGAAACGACACAACAATACGGAGCTCGCCATACAGGCCTACGCCCTCCCCTCACAGATACCGAGAGAAACCGTCGGCGAACCCATAATCTTTGTCTATACTGCGGAGCAAACGACGATTTGGTGGAAAGATGTCAGCTCACAAAGGGACAACGCCGCCTCAACACCACGGCATACGAGCCAGACACTGCAACCTCTATACACCACAAGAACGAATCTGTACGTACTCACACCCTCTACTCTGCTAAATTGCAAACCTGGCGCCCCCCCACTGACTTCACCCCTAGGATTAAATCTCGACGTCCTCAACTCAAAGTCAAAGGGTCAGTGGGTGGAAAGGTAGTGCATGCATTAGTAGATAGTGGTGCGGAAGATAATTTCATCAATAAAAATATTTTACCAGAACTTCAAATCCAAAAGTCTACTCCTTTGTCCCAACCAATTATCGCTGCAGACGGCCACATCATCGTGCCTAGTGATAAAGCAAGAATCGTAGAAGTAGAATGTAAATTTAACGACCTCGCAAAAGGTCAATTCTCCTTTGTACCAGCTCCATTGAAACATCAAGATGTCATACTAGGTTACCCATGGTTGCAACGCATAAATCCAAACATTGATTGGATTACCGGTAAAATAGAATGCAACAATCTCATACCACAAAAGCGTCCCATAAAAACACCAATAATAAAAACAAGGCCACGCACATTTCCCTCCCCTCTCCGCACTGTAGGTCAACGCTGGGGTGCACGCCCACTCAATAACAGTAACGCCATCGCTATGACAAAGCACGTTCGCGAACTCATCCGCAAAAACACCAGTGTCCAACAAAACAACGGCCCCAACACTGAGGAAAGAGTTCCCATAATTGATTGGCAAAAATTATACCACACCCTAAAATTGAACACCATATTGAAAGAACACGAGCCCGATACCTATCAAACCCTACCTAACCACTATACAAATTTTAAAAATGTTTTCTCAAAGCCAAAAGCTGAAGAACTAGCAAAAGAAAGGTCAAACGTGAACTGCGAGATTATTCTCAAGCCAGACGCCAAGATGCGCCGCGGAAGAGTATACAAGATGTCCGATACAGAACTCAGTCTACTCAAAACCTATATTGACGATGGAATCCAACGAGGATGGATCCGCAAAAGCAAATCTCCTTGCGCCTGTCCAGTTATGTTTCGAACTAAGCCGCATGACTCGGCCCTACGCCTTTGCGTGGACTACCGTGCCGTAAACGCCAATACAGTCAAAAACGCTTACCCTTTGCCTCAATTAGATGACTACCTAAGCAAAATGCACGGCGCTAAATTCTTCACCAAACTCGATCTTCGTAACGCCTTCCATCTGCTACGAATGAAAAAAGGTGATGAGTGGAAAACTGCGTTTATAAGCCAATTCGGCCTCTACGAATACCAAGTCATGCCTTTCGGTCTTTGTAATGCTCCAGCGACTTTTCAAGCATGGATGGACGATATTTTCCGAGAATTAAGAGAAACCATGATGTGTTACCTTGATGATATCCTCATATGGGGAGAAACCAAAGAACAAGTTATCGAACGTACCCACAAAGTCCTTTATATCCTTGAAAAGAACGGCCTATACGCCAAGCTTGAGAAATGCGAGTTTGAAGTCACGAGAACATGGTTTCTGGGTTACATAATCAAGCACAATAGTATCACAATCTACCCTTCTAGAATATCTCTCGTCACCGAGTGGCCTGAACCTAAGACTCTCAAACAAGTACAATCATTCTTAGGCTTTATCAACTTCTACCGCCGCTTCATTCCACGGTTCTCCGAACTTGCCCACGGACTTACGGCTTTTACCCGTAAAGAAAACCTTCAACGTCGCTTCGAACTCGGCGAAGAAGGTCTTCAAAGTTTTAGAACTCTTCAAGACGCTTTCAAAGACTCGAAAGTACTGGGTATTTGGGACTCCAGTCTTCCAGCGATCCTCGAGACTGACGCTTCCTGCTACGCTATTGCCGGCATATTATCACAAATCGTTAATGGTGTTAAAGTTCCCATCGGATTCTACAGCAAGAAACATTCACCCGAAGAGACCAGGTATGCTACACCAGACCAAGAACTCATGGCAATTTGTTACAGTCTCCAACACTGGCGTCATTATCTAGAAGGCGCTCGACACCAGATTACTGTCTACTCAGACCATCGCAATCTGACAACTTTCAACACCACCGCAAACTTGAACCGCCGTCAAGCCGGTTATTGGGCACAGATGAGCAGGTTTGACTACGTTATAAAGCATATCGCAGGAAAAAATAACCCCGCAGACTTACCTTCACGCCGCGAAGATTATAAACTCACAAAAGATGATGCACCCGAGGTCCACCCATTCTTATGCCTCGCCACAATGTCGCAAGTTCCTCCCGATATTTACAACGCCCTTGTCACAGCTACAGCAACCGATAATTACGCAGCCGAAGTTAATCCTTTGGACGAAGAGTCCAAGCTTAAATGGCAAAATGATATCCTGATATACGCTGACGAACGGGCGTACGTACCTCCATCCCTACGAAATCGCATCTTAGAACTATGCCACGACTCCCCTCTAGCGGTACATCAAGGCCAAGCACGCACATTAGAGAAATGCTACCGCGATTGTTACTGGCCATATATGAAAGACGACATAAAAAGATACGTCCGAGGATGCCGAAACTGTAACGAAAACAAAGACCCGCACCACGCAACCTACGGAAAACTTTCCCCACTTCCTGTTCCCGAAGGAAGATGGACCAGAGTTCATATGGATTTTATCACTGACCTCCCTACGACAAGTAGTGGTAATAACGCCATCCTTGTCGTCATCGACGCCTTAACAAAAATGGCACATTTTAGCCCCGTAAAACTTAAGGGAAGCGATACCGCCAACGCTCGAACGTCCGCAGATCTCTTCCGCCGAGAATGCATCCGTCTTCATGGTATTCCGGGTACCTTAATATCAGATCGAGACACCCGATTTCTTAACAAGTTTTGGAAAAATATGACGTCGAAACTGGGAATTGTCCAACAACCTACAACAGCCTACCACTCCACGGCCAACGGTCAAGCTGAACGTGCAAACACTATAATTGAAGCCCTACTACGTGCATATTGTAACCAAGCCCAAACTGACTGGGACACATGGTTAGATACATGTGAGTTTGCTTATAATGACTCAAAAACTTCGGCCACAGGCACCACCCCCTTCTTCGCAAACTACGGTTACCACCCACACCGCCAGTCCCACCCCGAGCTTTTCAACGAAGAACCAGACCAACATAACGAAGGAGCAGATTGGGTCATAAAGCAACAGCTTATACTTGACAAATGCAAAGAACAGCTCCTAAAAACCCAAGCGAACATGTCAAAATACTACGACCAACGGCATAGCGAAATGAGTTTCAGAGTTGGGGATCAAGTTATGCTACATACCCGCCATTTGTCTCTCGAAGTAGACAAATCGCGTAAGTTAGCACCTCGTTGGATAGGGCCATTTCCCGTAGTAAGCATCGAAGGTCCGCTCACTTACCGCCTTAGTATCCCAAATAAATTCAACATCCCGCACCCTGTCTACCACGTCTCAAATCTCGAGAAGTACCATAGTCCTGATGTGGCACAAGGTCAAACAGACGTAAATGAAGCTCGCATATGGCACGAAAAGGTGACGTACCCGATTCAACACCGACTCACGCCATATAGAATCCTTGCTTGTCGCACTTCCCAGAAAGGCCGTCAAGCCCACTACAAGCTGGAATTTATTAATACAGGCCATACCATATGGGCCCCAAAAACATTTGTTGGTTTCGCAAACTCCGACGATCGACTAATTGATGCTTTTCATACTCTCAATCCCAATGCCCCTCGACCTGCTGGGTATAGACTGAAGGCGGATCGCGTCTGGGAAGACATCACACTACCAGATGAGGAGGATAATGCACCACGCCGCGGACGCCCAAAAGTGCAATTCACTAGACAATCAACTTACGCCATCACCGCAGACAGACCTTATGGCGACAAAAAATTACAATATGCAGTATCCAACCCAGAAAGATCCACGGTAACGAAGTGGATGACCAGAGGGCAATTAATAAGGACTATTGGCCGACAAGGGCTTGATTTGGTAGAACATTACACTACTTCAAAAGACTAAGGCATAGATAAACACGCATACCCCCCCGCTAAAATTCTCATTGTTTAGGTGAATGAATTAGAACACCGAGGACGGTGCTCTGAAGGAGGGGGATAGTTACGCCCTCAGGGCTCCAAACATGCAATGAGCAAGGCAGTGTAGGTGCTTGAACATGACACACCTACGCGTGACATGAATGCCAATCTAGTCTTGGCATTACTCAGCAAACACCCACACCTCATGTATATAGAGCTCGCTGTAGTTACTCCTATTTCTTCTTCCATAGCCAATCTATCTTACATTCCTAAGGCTGCCTCTCTACCATTTTCATACCTCGTGATTCTGTTGAATTAGTACATGATATAATGAGAATTCCTTATGGTGTTGCTCTTAGTTCGCCGTGTAACAATGAAGTTGAAAGTGGTATGCGCTAGTTGGAGTTAAGACGAATCTCAACAATTCTAGTTGAGAATATGCATAGTTAGTTGGAAGAATATGATAGAAACTAGGTCTAATTGTTATGTATATATATATATACCTACTCATATAGGAGAAAATAAAATCATCCGAATTTTACAATGACTATTTATGCCAACGAGTGATGACAGCCCTGAGCAGTATCGTCATTCAGCTAAGAGGTGAGCAAATCAGGCTCAATTCTTATCTGTATAGAAGAAAAGTAACCGGAGTAGAAAAGCCAAGCTGTCAATTTGGATATCCGTCACTAAACGTCCAGCACAAAGTGTCAGCGTATCTACGCTGGGCAGGTGAGAGAGGCGACTTTCTTCGAAAAGCTAAAGACAGTACATCTGAAGTAATAATTAACAGCCTAGAAACTGTGGCTAGAATCACACAGTGTTTACTAAGCAAAGGATCGATAAAAATGTTTCGACTTGCGGAGGAAGTCTAGATAGCAATGTCGGAAAAAATATTTAGATCTGGAAGGGGAGAGGACGGAATCCACACTAGCTGAATAGTGTTAACTGCAATTCCTGAAGTTAACTACACAAATTGAAAGGAATATAAAAAGACAGGATCAGGGGGTTTTCTCCGAGTTGGTCTCCTCCTTTATAGATAATGAAGATAGTCACCTGCATGGACCCATAGGTTATCTGATCGGTTTCAATGAAATCAAATTCAAATGAGTGATTGCTTGGATTAACCATATCTCATGGCGGGGGAATATTCTCAACACTTGTCAATGGTGACCCCTACGAACCTCCAGCTCTCACTGTAGAGTCTGCAGAGCCTAGATTGAGTAACAAAGTTCTCACTTCGACGAGGATTCCCAATCACTTCCGCGGTCTGTATTGTCTTCATCTCTCAACACATTCCCCTATCACCATTATCACAAAGCTAACTACGATCAGATCAGATGGTAGGGTCGGAGCCCTACTCATCACCAAACCTTGATCACGGAGGAAAAGCTATCCGATGAGTTTCCGGAGTGTACCCAGCACCCGATACGGAGATGGTGGATTGGATCAAGTCGACCTCGACTGTTACAAAGAAGGGAGATATAGATGAATATGCGCACCTCATGTGGTCCCGATGTCTAGGCCTCGCCTAGCTGGGGCTGCAGGTTTTTTGAGACTTTTTCCTGCGCACGCAGTTTCCATTGCTACCATTTTTTTTTTTTTGGGTAGAAGGTTCCGTGGAAAGGGTGGCCGAATTCCACGGGTGAACACTGAGCTGAATGGCTATTCATCAAGGGGAACATATCAATGGTCTTTCAAGCAAAAAAAGAGGATAGGAGCACTGTACAAGGTGTGGCCTGGGTCAGAGAGGAGCCCAATATGCTAGATAGTCATAGACTCAAGTAGTATAATAAAACACACACACACAAATGAGTGATCATCAGTTGTCCACGGTCTCCAAGATTGTTTGGGGTTCGTGCCATGCTCATCCAACCAAAAATCTCGATAGAAAGAGGTCCAACAAATCAGGAAACCACATTTGATCGCGGGCATATTACAGAACCACATGTATCAACGTGTTTCCTAGTAAATTATTGCAAGCCAAATCAAATATAAATCTAGATAAAGTAGCCAATACGATGTCTTCCCGTCAGGACATTGAATTATTGGTCTACATCTCTCGCAATCAATAGCGCCGAGTAGTTGACAACTCAGATCTCGAGCCGACCTAAGGACGAATTAAATTTAGCATTGGCCCAATGTATTCAGCCCTAGTGTTTCAAAGGGTGAGAATTGTAAATTCAGCGCTAATAGAAATGCCAACCAAGTTTAGCTTGGACCTCCGACGTTAACCTTTGACGTAAATATAATTTCTATTCGCTCGCGACTCGATGGAAATAATAAATTGACAACCATAACATTCGCATGTTTTCACCGTGGATATGCGCATGGCGAATGAGATTCATGTAAAGCAGTAAGCTTTTAGATCCACATGCAGGTCACGGAACATAATACGTGTGAATTATCATTTATTATGGAATATTGTCGGGCATCGTGGCTAATTTGACACACATCAACAAAATACCCTTTACATTAGTCGATCCTGGGGCCAATCTATGGTTATCAGCAACACTTTCGTCTCGCATAAATAGAATCATTTCGATTAGGGATCTAAATATAAACCATCCAAACTAAATCTATCCTTGTAAAGCCGATCCGTGAAGAGAGTTATCATGGTAAGTTTATTAAACTTTGGACCTAGAAGAAGCTTAAGCTAGCACAGTTCATTGGTTAATACCTAGAATGATTGACACTAAACACAGCCAAGAGGGAGATGCCCAATCTATAAAGTCGTTTATTCTTCTTCAGCCTTTTATCCGTTGGCATTCTACTCTCCAGCTGAACCATTGCATTTAATCATATTCTTAAAATCGAACAATCACCCGAAGAACATCATGTCTCTCACCATTTCGATTGAAGAATACCTGGCCTTCAACCCATTAGAGTCTATTATGGATCCTTTCCGTGCTTTGTACACTGCATTTTTCAAAACACCTTGCGATACATTATTTGGGGAGCCCATCGACATGAATAAACGTCACTATCCAGTCAAAAACCTGGTAGTTTCTTTAAAGAACTATATCGACAAAGGGCACCTGCTTACAGAAGACATTAATCACATTGGATCACGTTTCACCAAAATAATTAATTGGATGGAGTCAACACAATTTGACTTGGACCCATTTGTACCTCTGGCCACGCTGATCCTAAATCATGCTTCCGACACTGAGGTATGGATATCACTTTTGGAACTTGTTGACACGCTTGAGAAGATAATCGAGGCCCAGGAAGAAAAGTTAGACAACCCAGCAGCCAAATCGATGTTCAGGCGGACTGGGATAACACGCGAATGGACGGAACAAACCATGCTTCATCTAAAAATGATGCTTCGTAGAGAGCTGTACGGGTCGGTTTTCATTAACGTCTATGGTTTTTGCAGTAAATACTTCACCCAAAAATCATGGACAAATGACTGTATCGAACTGGCAAAAGAATATGTGAAGCGCTCCGGGGAAGATGATTTGAAATTTCCAACAGATCTAGACGAGATTCTTGTTTGGGAATGGATGAAGAATGTGGAAAACAAAATTTTCCATTCGTCTAAAGAATCATTGGAGACCTCGACAGAATCATCTTACTCTCTGCCGGCCCAGGCTGTACCTCTTTTGAAAGGCACTCAACATCGCATGAACCAAGCAGGCACAATCGATGGCGCACAATCTGAGAGACAAGTTGACTACTACATCACGCGGCGAGATGTTTCGACTTCATCTCATGACTGGCGCGATATTCTCGTGATTGGAGAGTTAACAAAGTCTCCAACAGATGAGTTTATGAAAAAGTTTCTACAGCTCTCTGCGCTAATGCGGGAGGTGTTTTTCGCACAACCACTTCGACAGTTTGTGCACGGGTTTATCCTCTTTGGCAAGTCTCTTCTGCTCTGGGTATACGATCGGTCAGGGCCATACTGTAGTTCATTTATCGACATTGGCCAATCACCGCAGACGCTCGTGTATGTGATGGCAGCATATATGTCAATGAGCGATGCAGAACTTGGACTTGACCCAAACATTAAGTACGAAGCCCATCAAATTACGGTAACGCTAGATGTTCCCGGACCAGAGAAGACGCGCGAGTTTAGACTTTTTCCAGAGCCAGTCGCACAGCCGACGACACTTGTGACAAGGGGAACCAGCTGTTACCGGGATCTAGATGGTGGTTGTATAGTCAAGTTCTCCTGGAGAATGTGCGGGGATGACTCGGAGGCAAAGCTGCTCGAACGTGCGAAAGACGTGGATGGCATGGTGAAGCTTGTGGGATGGCGCGACTCAGTAAAAATTAGCCAACTTCGAGAAGGACTGATATTCACACAGGCAATGGTGAAAGATACGCGTCCAAATGACAAAGCCATGGCCACTCCACTTGGGTTCACTGATGGTTTTATGCCAGATCAAAAGAAAAGCACCAGTAAGACCACGAAGCGTAAGCGAAGGGGCGAAGTAAACGAAGCCGGGACTAAATATGAACGGTCGAGTAAAAGGGCAAGATCCTCAGCTGGATGTGAGCCAATCCTTCATGCACATCTCGAAAAATATTTACTAACAATATGAAAGCATCAGTCATGGCAGAAAGTGTCACGGAAAATAGGCCATCTATATCGTTGAATGTCATCACCGAAGAAGATGTGTCCTGTGTTCCAGGGGGTGAAAGCACTAATAATGCCGAAATCTCTATTGGAGGAGATAGGCAGTCTACTAGGGAGAAACGGAAGAGCTTGGATAGTGACGAAGTCAACGGTCGAATCAAGAGGCTTCAACTTTCAAGCAATGCAGACAATGGAACAACTAACGGTAATTCCGGCACCAGCAACTTTCCCGATATGGAAAAAGTCATGGGAATCTCGCCCTTCATTTTCGGAAGTGACCACTTGAATGTCACACACGATATCATCGGGCCCGAATTCAAAGTTAAGGTCAGAGTTGCATGGATCCGAGATCGTCAGTCCTCGGCCGTTGCGACAACACCATTTGGACGACCGATCCA